TGAGCGATGCGCAGGTTGAAAAAGTGCAACACGTAGCATTTGAATAAAATGTGTGAGGAAAACTACGCGCTACCAGAGATTGTGGAATTTTTTTATAACCGGAACGAGAGAGGAAGTTAGAGATAACAGGCCCGAAAAAAATATAGAACAAAGTTTGATTTATGGCTCCGGCTTGTAGATTTTAGATGCAAACAGAACCAAAAATCGAAATCAGTTGCACATACAAAACGAAAATAGATAACGATACAAATTGGGAAATGTAGAATTGTAAAATCAAAAATTTTTTAAAGGACTTCAACAAAATATCCTTAACCTAATATTCCTAATCTAATTTGAGGTAAAAAAAACCGGAAACTTTATAACTTTTCCAATGATTTTAAAAAGCAAAGCACACCTTCTTAACAACAACCAAAAAAAACAGCGCGCTTCCATAAAAATAACAAAAAAAGACCAGCAGCAGATGGAGTAGCGTAACAGGAAAAAAAACAGAACCAAGATGAAATTGCATTATGTCGATTTTGTGGATTTTCCTATGCAAAGAGAAAAAGGAAGGGGGAAAAATGACGAAAAAATGGGAGAGCATAGGAAGCTCAAATGGCTGCGAGTGGCTCAAAAAGTGCCCCAAGATGTGGCAACATCGGTCCAGGACAGCAGTTACTTTGCATCTTTTAAGCACTGCTCATCGGACGGGATGGTTCTAGGATAGAAAAAGGCTATGTCAGTGAAAATATAGAAGGTAAAGGGATAAAGAAGTTTTCATTGGTTTCGGCTTCGGGCTGATGAAGCCGAAGCAGCCCAGGTATTCCATCTTCATCGCTTTTTATCCAGGCTCATAAAAATCATTCATTTGCGAAAAGCCAAATTGCCAAGAACGCAAGTGAATTGATAAGGGTTTTATGGAGTCTTAGAGAAGCCTTTTAAATTTAAGATATGTATGATCAAAAAGTAATTTTTCTAAATTTTTCCTGTTAGAATTTTATAATTTTTCGAAAAAGTTTATTTCTTCTAGTTTATGGCTTATTGATATGTTACCCAATAAAAATGCTATAAAAATGTCCAATAATTCTTTTGAAGTTGATGAATTGTGTCACAAGATTATAGAAATTCATGGGAGAACCTTTGACATGATTTTAATCTGAGGAAATAACAATTATAAAATTGAGAACGAATTTTTATGAATGCTTTGTTTCGTAAAATGTAATGGGGAGATTAAAATTGTCTTGATTTTAAAAAGTAGTCCTAAATCCGGTTTAAGGAGAAACTTTGAGTGGCAGAAGCTGCTTCTTAGCTCCCAACCACCGTGTTTAATTTTGCAACCCCAGTCTTATTTTGCCACCCTTTTCCGCACACTCCAAAACTCAACCACTCAACGACCACAAAAACCCCCTTGGGTTTACTCGCCTTAAATTTGTGTTTATCAGGGGCACACGGCTCGATTAATTTTGGGGGTGGGTAGGGGAGCCAAGGCGTGTTTTTAATTGCCAAGGACAATTAAAAACAATTTTGCAGGCACAAAAGAGTTGGCAATAAATTTAATTGGCCCGCTGCCGTAACGCCCATTGATTATTTTCGGTGTGGGCGTGGCATGAAGCACTTTCACACCTAGTGACAAGGTGTCCAGGGTTGCCACCACCGCCCAAGAAAATTGGTGGATGTGGATTGGGGATGGATGGTGTTTTCCTTGGCTGGTTTGCCGCTGGAATGGGGCGGCAATTTATGCGGCTGTCAGTTGCAGGGGCAGCTTGGATTTTTATTGGCACCCGGCACGCAGCCAGAACTTCAGCTTCGTTCGGCTTCCTCTCAAGTAATTGCATCGAGCACATAAATCAATTGAATTGCATTTTCATGCGACAAGTTTGGCCAACCCTCGATTGTCTGCAAGTGAAGTGAAAGCCAAAAGTAGTTTTCCCCCTGGGCCTGTCTCTCATCTTTTTAGCTGGCCCCTCGAGCGTGGCGTAATCAATTGAAATTGCATGCAATGCGTCACTGGCAGATCTAAGTAAAAACCCCACAAAGTTCAGTTCCAAGCCAAACCAAATCGAAGTCAAAATCGAAGTCGAAGCCTGAAAAGTAAAGGGCATTTTCCCCGTTCTCAATGCAACACGTAGAAAGATTATCGGCAACTTCGTTTATGGCTTATCAAATTAAATGATTAATGTTTCCCTATGTTTCCTTCTTCTGCGCCAAGAAAAATGTCATCAGCAGTTTTCAGTTCAGTTCGGTTTGTATTTTGTTTTATTTTCTTGCTGGGAGTTCAAATGGTTTTCGTGTTGCGGTTGTCGACTTGGTTTAAGTTTCGTTTAACATTTTATTGAGAAAGTTTTGTTTGTGGTGACCTTTATGCTTAGCTGATTTGTGGCTGGTTAAATTGTTTTGAAGTATAAGTATTTAGTGTTTAGGAGCGAAGGAGTTAAATCTAATACAAGGTGTGGCTTTAATGGGAACTTCAATTTAGTTAGGATTTTGTAACTTATTTTAAGAACGCAGCTTTAGACTTGTGATTTCGTTTGATTAATTTGGTTATAAGGGATATTGGTCCATGGTCGACTTTATGTATATAAATTAAAACTAATATCTAAAGAAATTGATTTTTAAATGAAGTACATTTATTAAGTTAAATAAATTCTAATGCATCATAAATCAAAGTTTCCTTAAATGTCACTTGGGTTTTACATAACTAACCCTTTTAAGTATGACCCTTTATGAGGCGTTTTTCCCACATAATGGGTGAAGTTAAATGAAGAGTGCCATTGGAAAATTCCCATTTCCCTTGTCTCACATTATCCTTAGCATTTCCATCATCCAATCATGGTTTCATTTGCTCCTGCACTCCAAATTCTCAAAATTCCATCAGCAAAAGTTTTCATCGTCATCCACAAAGCTCATGATCCACACACAAACACACATCACATTTATCAGTCAGGACAGTGGGACGGATGGACAAATACGCACTCGAAAGTATAACTCATCGGGGCACAAATTACAAAGACAAACGATGACTGACAACCGCAAGGCTTTTTTGGCCCCCAGAATGGAGAGTTTGGGCGTGGAAAGTGGAAAGTGGGTAGCAGTCGGGGTCACCACTTAGCACCCACAATCCACAGGGCTGCAACGGAAAACCCAGGGCCAGAGGGGCAGGGACATCAGCGTTTTTGTTAATTAAACAAATGCCGCAGTGACATGTGCACATCACGAGAGATGTGATGACTTTGCCGGGGTTTTGGTTTGGGCCGCTGCGGTTTATGCATCTGCATTCGTGATGGGTGGCATGGGTTCCGGGTATGGCTATGGGTGTATATGGTACCATATAGGGTCGGAAAGTCGCACAGTCGGGTCTGGGGTTCGGTTTGGATGGCGCTGAATTCAGTACCCACTGACAATTCCGCTTGACAAAAGCGCACACAAATAACGGGGGAAAACAGGCGACATCGCTGACAATGGCTCCGCATGCAATTTAATTTATTTCAATTGCAACGGAATTATTACGACAGACGACAAAGTGCCGTCGCAGAGCAATTTACCCAGCATCCCCTGGGCGCCGCTCCTGCTATCCCCCTATAGCCCCCTCCTCCTTGGTATTCCAAAAAACCCAGCTTCTTTATCGCTTTTTTAGGGAACTGTTAATAAACAAATACATGTGCGAAGAAAGTAAGCGCAGCGAGCGTCGATTTCAATTAAACAGACGCGTGGCTCCCGTTGGCCACTCAATCTGATAATGACCACAGTGCACAGTGGCGGCGGAGGAGGTTTCTGGAAAGGGGTCCCCCTTTTTGAGCGCCCATTGCTGGCAGGAGGTAGAAGAACTTAATTTATCAACAAAAAAAGATGTATCAGTCCTTCATAAAGGAGTATCTATAGTTTTATTTGATACTATCAATATAAATCAACAGGATTTCTTACTAGCTGTCTGGTGTCACTTGAGCTAAAATCCATTCTTAGCAGGGTCCAGCAACAGGGAATGAAATTTTTGTCAAAAAGTAAAAGCTCCAGTTTTACTGGCTTTTACTTCCTATTGATTCTTAAAATATCAACGCTGGTTTTATACGCATAATATATTATTATTAAAAAACCTGGATAATTTTATATGAGATATATCTTTTCAAATGCAAAAATATATTTAAAAATGCATCATTTATTACTGAAAGGTTAATTTTTGCATATATTCAGGCATTAAAAAAGATATCTATATTATAATTTTGGATTATAGACCGTAAATAAAACTTATAATTTAACCTGAAAATTGCACATTCCTTTAAAGTGTCACTTAGAACATTCAAAGTTAATGGTTCTTTTTAGTTTAAAGTAAAACGGCTTATAGTTTTTTTATTGATCAATAACAGTACACTTCATAAAACCTATTGTATAGTAAAGTCCCCGAACCATTCCCGGATGCAATTTCGCAATTCCGACCCATCGTGGGTGGTTTGGGGGCATTCAATTTCACCACTGTTGATTTCGTTGTTGTTGTGGCAACAAAACACTTTTATTTTTGCTGTTGTTATTGCAGTTTTTGTTGTTGTTTGGCTTGGCCAGTTTCAAGTGTAAATTAATTTATGAGGCACGCCATGGAGCTGGCGCCAGGCTGCGGTCACAGACCCCCTCTTCGCACCCGCCCATGGAGCGAAATGTCAGCCAGAGTGTGAAATTTCATACTTGAATACTTGCCAAAACGTTGACAAATGAAGTCTGCATAATTGGCTAACATTTGGTCATGGAATCGGAGAGCTTTTACGAATATTTGGTGAATGAAGATAGGTAGAGAAAATTATTTTATTTTAAAATTCATGTGGGTTTATGAACACTACCCAAAAACATGGGCCATTCGGTTCTCTTTTCAAAAAAAAACTTCATTTAATAGAAACGACTTTAGTAAAGTGGAACAATTAGGGGCTTAAATCTTATACAACAAATGTGTTTTAAAAACCCCCAACACATCCCAAACTTCGATTCACCTCTGATATTCATGAAAAACGTGTTCAATTTGCGTTGACTTAACTCACCTTTCAGTGTGCCGATGAAAAACAGAGCGGCCAGCAAATTGAGATGGCCAAACATGTTGATTGTTGATTTCTGACGGATTTTTGTTTCGAATGGCTTCCTGCTCCGTTTTGTATCTGCAATGGAAGGAGTGAAAAAGAATGAATATGTAAATAATTATTTATTGGTCTAGACACGCCCTTGGTTTAGTCACTATAAGCGACAGAACATAAGGCAGCAATTTGTTTGTTTGTTTGGTCATAATAGAGACATTTTTGGTAAGAGGGTGTGTGTTGGGGCCCAGCCCAGAAAAAAAACAAGTGCGGAAGAACGCCAGCTGTCACCTGTGATCTGTAACCTGTTACCTGTTACCAGTCACCGATTCGCCTGTCATCATTCAAATGTCATTTTACCAAAGGGGGCGGGCCACAAATTGCCGATTGACACGGCACCTGACGCTAATCAAAACTACACATGCACTTTTGGGGTAAAAGCCCTTGGTTCATTTCCCCATTCCGCCTATGGGCAATTAAGTCTGGTTTTGTGTTTTGGGCCTGCTAAATTTTCATTACTGTGGCCATTGTCTGACCCAGGAACTGGGGGGGATTTGAATTCGATTGGGAGCCATGGGTAAGCCCACCTTTTCGTTCAATCGCCCAATGATTGTCATCGTAGGTGTGACTAATTGTTGGTCATTTATCTTCTCTGCTTTCTTCTCGAATTTGATTTTTTCTGTATTCCTCTGGCCTCTTTGTTTTTCGGTTTTCCATGGAAGTCATGAATAATTTCCGTTCTAAATGGAAAGGCTGGGCTTTCCCTTTCTCCCCGTCTCTTTCTCTATCTCTCTGTGTCTCTAATTGATAGATAATTGAAGGTCTCGGTGGAGAAAGGGGAGTATTGATCAATTGGCTAGAGATGAGGCAGCAAATGATGAATGAACAATCTGATTGAGTGAGGGATAAGATGGGGCTCAATTTGATCATGAATGGTAATTCTTTCTATTGGATGATGTCACCTCGAGATTGCTGGACTAAACATACTCAAGAAGATTTTCTGGAATTTATATGTCTGAATCATTTATTTGAATATTTATTACTGATTCACTAGCCTTTGGATTACCTCTATGTAGTTTAAGCTTAAAATTTAACTGTGGGCGATTTGTATTTAAACGTCACACATGTTTTTTATGCAGCCACATTTATTCTATCATTTAATTTTATTAAATTTTAGACTGGACAAAAATGTCAATTTCTATTGAAATATTATTACTTTTAAATACAAACTTCTTTCAATTATGCTTTATTAAAATTTTATAGATTTTCTATATTCATTGATTAAATTTAAAACTTAAAATAGCTAACCATTTCAACTCGACGAATATTAAATATTGTGTGAATTCGTGGCAATGTGTCATGCTACAACTTCTGCGCATCCAAAAAATATCTAAAATCTCTGACACGAAGTTTTATGTATATATCTCATGTGGGTCACTGAAACTTTTTGATTGACAAATGCAGAAGACATTTATGGTGCGGATAGAATGAAATCAAATAAATTAGAGCCTCGAATGACTGTCAGGAAAGTGTTCGCATGCAGATGTAAACTTGGGCAATTCCACTAAACTGAACTCCAACTAGACTGTGACTATCCTGACTATAATGTGACTTGCATATCCGTGTATCTTTTGTATCCCCGTATCCCTGCACTCCTCCCATCCGCTCGCTTTGTATCTGTTTGCTGGCACTGTAAACAAGTCAACAAGGACCGACTGCCATGGGCAACACAGCCCCACCCACATTTCCAGGTGGATTTCCCGCCCCTCGACAGGTGCACAAAACGGGGCTCTAACATCGTCACACACGTCTCATTTTCCCTTCGCTTTTCGCTCCTTTTTTTTTTTTTTTGGTTGCTGGCAAACTAATTTCAAAGCAAATGCGATACTGTCGCAAGTGACTGAGACGACTCCCCAGCCTGTTGTTGGGTTTCCTTTCCTCCGGTGGCTCAGGTGGTTCAGGTTGGGAGTGGTTCTGGTGCTCGTATGTCACCCTGTCAGCGATACCCTGACTCAGGTGAGTCCTCAGTGACCTCAAGAGTTGGCAAAGGTGGAGGTTGGGTCTTTGGATATGGGGGACTTTTCTCAAATTTACTCAACGAAGTCGAACATATTTTAACCATTTTCTTATATATTTATTTTCATAAACAAGGATGGGTTACCCTCTTATTATTTAAAAAGAGATATTTAATATTATAGATCCAAAGAACAAACAAGAATTTTATAATTTGAGACTTTTAGATCGGAAATTCAGCAAAATAAACAATTTAAAGTGTATAAATGTTTTCTTTTATTTATTTTTCAGTGCTCTACAGGCACATTGTTATCTCAAAGAACAGATCTTTAACCTTGTGACACTCACGGGATATTTTTTTTTTTGGGCAGCCTAATTTACATAATTTCGTCGTTAAGTGGCGGAAAAGTGTAATCAAATGAATGAGTAGATAGTAGAGCCCAGGGGAATCAAATCCCAGAACTGCACTAACCATCAGTAATTAGATTGTAAAATTTACAGACCGAAATTAAATTGAAATTTTTGCACAATGCTTTGCCACGATTTGAAAATCCCAAATGTATGTTTTTAATTTTGACAAAAGGTCATTATGGTCAAAAGTTGGGAAAAGACAAAATGAAAAGCCCTGCAACTTTCGCTTTTCCCATTGTGGTTCATTGGGGGTTTTTAGCAGCTCTGACCCCCTTGCAAGTAAAATGTGTGAAAATTCTATGGGAAGTGATATGTTGCCAGCATCTCCACCCCCTCGCCATTTTGCCCTTGGCTTTGGAAAATTGAAAAGTTATCAATTACCGTTCCTTTTTGAGTGATTGGCTTTGCCAAAACCCACCCCCCAAATGGAAGCGTATGCCAAAATTGTATTGTTTTTTGGGTTTCCCTCGCTCATCGTACATTTTCCTAGCTTCTTTGGATCAGCTTACAATTTCATGGCCCGAAGCGTATTGAGGTAATTGAATTTTGGTTTTTGGCCAAGCGGCTGATGAAGTGGGAATATCTAAGGTAGTACAATTTTAAAATTACCAGTCGGGAAAATGTACAAATTTCGGTAGGTAGATTAAGCTTGTAATTTTGTGAGGGCACCTGGTTAATTGCAGCAATTTATAGAAGGGCAAAAGCAATATGCAATATAGCTAAGTATGCTCCCGTTTAGCAAATGTAATTTATTTGAATAATTGGCCGCATTTAAATTGTGATAAATACACAATTATCAAAACAATTGCACAAAAATATCACAAAATTCTGCAAAAATAAGCTAATATAAACTGCAACAAATCACTTTTCATTTAAAAAGCTTAAATTCAAAAGCCCACCCTCCGATTCTATTAGAAATTAACCCATAAAACCACCACTTAATTCGATTCACCCACTTGACTTGATTGAAGGCAGATCAAATTGCCCAAATAAAAACCAACAAAATTACGATGATGGGAATTAATTAATAAGTCCGTACCATAAATAACAAGAGATATAAATAGATAGGGGAAAAGCAAGAATTCCATTGCGAGACCAAATAAAGAGGAATGTGTTTTTTAGAATTTATTACATTTGAGTGGGAGGGCCACTTGCCGCGTTGCCAAATCGATTTCAAAACTTCATAAACAACCCGGGCGAAGAATTCCCCTTCGGCAACATTTGAGAAATCTCGACCCGGCCAATAAACTGGGAACAAAAAAAAAAAACATCACCGAAATGAATCGAAATTTATAAACAACAAAAAGCTGCAGTTTGTGCGCCTTAATTTGTTTATTTTGTGCTAAAGAGCAACACGCATCGAGTGCCATAAAAAATCAACAGGCGGCATAAAAAGCAGAGTGGCAGGGGTAAAACTTACAGAATTTATAAACTGTGCAAACTTTGGCCAAGAGGGGCAGCCGTAAAAAAGGCAAAAACTGAGCAGAAAGGGAATATTTATGCAAACGTCAATTGGGCTGCAATTGAATTGAGCCAAGGGGCATGGCGCATGAGGAATGAAACATGAGGCATGAGGCACGTACTTTCAGATGCCCCATCAAATGGCGGGATCTTTCAAGAATACCCTATGTAAAGGGGTTTATCTGATATAATATTGTCCAAAGGTAACTTAATTTACTTTAAGTAAGGTATTGAAGTTTGATCCATGGCTGTATTGCATTTGTTTTCACTGTTTATTATAGGTACTTTATTTAGTTTAAAATTGTTTGGGTCTATAAAGTATGCTTTTATAAAATTATAATTTCTAATTCGCCTTTGCTCCTGTAAAACTAATTTACATTTAATTAAAACTAACCGATAGGAGTCTCCATTTATTTTATGGGAAAATATAGCCCATTTTAATTGCCAGAGCATTTCCAATTCGATGAGTTTTCATTTGTATCTTTTATTAGGCGCCCCTTCCACAGCACGCCCAAATTGATATACAAGTCAGACAACGTGACGTATGAGTGATGATGCGTGTGTGCCCCTCCTTGGAGGCCCTCCCCCTTTTGCCGCCCACCGTGTAAACATTCAATTCGTTGGTAGCGGCATATGATTGCCATATTTGCCATGGAGCCAGTTCCGAAAAGTGTTCGATAAATGGGAAATTAGGTTGCAACGACGCCGGCGCCAATTCCAAAAAAAAAGAGGAAAAACAAGAGGAACAATCGGAAAAGCGAAAAGAGTTTCCACTGGCTTGTTTATGCCCGTAGCAGCCACTTGAAGCTGTTGGAAAATCCGCCCCGCAACCCCTTTCACCAACCCCCTTTCTCCACTAATGGCCAGCTTTTGATTGACTGACGAGCGAACGAGTTGAATGATTGCCTGCTGCACATATTGATTTGCATCTAGTGGATCGCCCATTTGCCGTAATTTGCCCTACACAATGCCATAATTTATTTGATTGATATGCCATATATGCGCACAGTGTATATGTGTCATCCCCTACCTATATATATCGCATGAATTTTAAATTTATTTGCCTTGGCTTCTCGCCATTTGTTTGCCGCTAATTTGACTGTCAATCAATCGGTGAATGCAAAAGTTTTTTCTGTGCCACATAAATATTTTCCGTTTGTAAATTCGCCATAAGTAAATACACACATACCCATTTGTTTGATATAATTCGCTGACGTTCAATGTTTGATTTCAGTTATTTATACACATTGGGATATAAAAGCAATATTATTCCCTGACATAAAACAAATTCCTCTGGTAGTTTTTTCTCTTTTTACATGAAATATATGGCTATGTTTTTGATATTGTTTATCAATAAAGTATTCGTTGAAATGTTTTTTTTTTCCAATGCTTTAAGTTTATAAGGCAGCTTAAATATTTTATTAAGCATTTAAATGTTTATTGAACCAAGGCATGTTTGATTTAATTAATTTAATGTAAGCGTAAAACCTTGTAGTTCAATGAGAACAAGGGCTTGGATATTAACTTATGAAATTAAGTTTTCCTACTTTAAATAAAAAATGTGACTAAAGAAATATCACACACAAATATTTTCATTAAGCCAATTCCAATCAATTCCGGACCGGCCACTTTATGCATCAAATTTTCATTGAATTTTTGAGTTGTATATTTATAATAAATTCTATACGGAATTTCCATGGAGAGTAGAGAGCTCAAATTAATTGTCGGTAAGAAATCCAAGAGGAGGAGTCATTTCCTAACAAATTTTTCCGGAGAACAAGGAACAAAGGTTTTATTTAGCTTGGGCCGAGGCCATCTCAATTGGGAATATGCCATAAATTTGCAGAAAAATTGAAAACAGAGGAAGGAAAAATACGATTTCACTGTGTAAAATATATTTTTGTATGTCTTCACTTTTTGGCCCGTAACATCGTCGTCATCGTCATCATCATCATCATCGTCTTGGCCATCATTTATTCATGACAATTTTTGCTCCTCACAACTGCAGCCTGTAAATGTGGAATGAAAATGGAGTCACAACTATACCGAGTGCTTTGAGGTGAATTTTCCTGCAAATGAAAAACCCACTCATCGATAATGCAGGCGAGAAACCGCAGGAAAATGGGGGTAGAGGAAATGTAAAGCAATTTTCGGCCCATAAATGAATGAGGAATATTTATACTTTTCGGCCAGACAATAGTCTGAGTTTGGTATCCAGGGCAAAGGTCCTCACTCCAAAAATAATACGAAAAAATGCGTATTTTCCATAACTTCAGCCAGATGACAAGGGGAAGCCCAAAATTCAAACTGTGCAAATGAGTTGGCCGCAAAATGTCAGTTACAGACACCTCGCCAAACTTTATTTCCCCCTTTTACGTACCGCAAACGCGCCGAAAAATCTTGAGGTAAGGAAACGACGAGAAGGAGTTGGTGGAAGTTTTCTCTTTTTTTCCCCATTTTGTGCAAATAAAATCAATCAATTTTTGGTCTGGCAAGTGGCAGTAGCAACCAGTGGAAAGCAGCAGCCAAAGCAGCATTCTAAGTGCTCGTCCGACACTGAAATCTATTTGCCAAGGTGATGACAAAAACTGTGGAGCCAGGGGAGGAAAATTGGAAAAGTATTAAGGGGAGTTTCGACTTCTTTTATGCTTCTTAAAAAGCTAGATAGATAAGCAGGATGCACTTAAATTGTTAGCTTAACAGTCGGGAAAAGGATTGAGGACTGTCTTCAAATGTTTGCTTTAATATTTGTGATACTTTCTTTATATTTTGTATCATTTAATAATAAATTAGGCTTATTAAAATTGTTGTACCCCTTCAACTATTTTTATTTAGTTCCGCTTTTTCAAAATCATTAAAATTCCAAAAATAGGAATTATATTGACAGCATGTCTAAAATAATTTTGTTTTAGCGGCAAGTGCCATTTTTTCTGTAATTTTCTAGAACCCGCCTTGAAATGTTTGTTTTAATATATTCCAACTGAAGTTAAGACGTTTTTATCTATTTTTAATTAGTTAATATTATACGAAATCAATAAAATAATAATTAGTTTAACATCGTGCTTAAAATGTTTTTGGTAATTTTTACTGACCTCATTTTAGAGATATGTTCTATTTTATATTATTTATCTAGAGCCCGACTTAGAGCATTCAGACTGCTCCCATTGAGACGAGACTCCTTAACAAGTCATCGATTTTCAGGGCAGACGGTACAAACCCACTTTTGAGTTCGGTTCCGTAATTAATAGAATCAACTGGAGAAGCAAACCCTCAAGTGTTGAATGATTTAGCAGCCCCCTCTCCTTTCCAATTTGATTTTACCATCGAGAGGCGGCGGGGAATTTTCATTAACAAAAACCGCAATGGGAATGGGAACACACAATTTTCGAGCCCTGTGTCGATTTCTGTAAAATGCCCGAAAATAAAAATCAATCAACACGTTCGCTTAATAGACCGTCGACTCTCCGCTCAAATGTAAATGTATCTGCAAGATACATTTTCGAGTATAAGTATTGCACAAAGACAAATTGCTTTTGTCTCTAATTTTAACACGACTTTGACGGGCTCTTCTTCTCTCGACTTTGCTTTAATTTGTTTGCCGTGGGAGTGAAAAAATGTTCACACGGTTAAGGGTTTTTTGTCTACGCTTTTTTCTGTGTGTTCCTTGAGTTCTGCTTGGAATTGATTGGCGCACGTTTTGCGCGTGGCTTAGCAAAAAAAAAAAAAGAAAACAAAGGCGAAATACGAAGAAAAACTTTACCCAATAACCAAACAAAAAGCGAGAGTAAAAGTCCAACAATTTTTTTATGGGGGCTCACGAAAAATGCATTCCGAAAATTTTCACATTTACATTTGGGGTTTTTCACCGCTCTGCTTTATCTTCTTTGGGGTTCTTCTGCTGGTTCAATCTTTATTGAATGTCTGCCCGGCGTCTCCAACTTCATGTTTTTATTTTTTTTTTGAGGCAGCAGCAGCACTTTGTGGGTGCTTAAAACAGCTGACAGGCCCCACTGACAGATTGATGTATGTTGATTCTGCCTTCTCCCTGCTTTTTCCCAGCTGAATATTTTCCACACTCTTAATGAAAATATTTCTGTTTGTGCTATTTTCATTTGACTTTGCGGCCTGTTCGAAGATTTATGTCTTTGCCGGGATTTTCGCCCGTCTTTAACCTGAGTTAATTTTTATTGCGGGGGCTAATAGGGCACGCACCTCGACATCTCCTAAATCTTTGACAATTTGACTGCATTTGGGCTAAAGTATATTTTCGTTTGGCAGGGGACTTGTGAACTGAGTGTTTTACAAATTTTGGATTTGTTTGAGTGGTGAAAAGGTCAATTTCGTTGTCTCTAAGACTTTGAGTTTAAAGAAAATAGCTAGTCTAAGGATTAAGTTCTACTTTCCTCTTTTGGTACGTGGGGAACTTTGAGTGTGTTTCGTAAAAAAGAGATTGGGGGAAATGGTTGGGAGAAATAGAGGTGACATCTCAAGTGACGGGATCAACATCTTAATGCTTTTACAGAGTAATTTTTGAGTAATGGATCCGAGTGCTGGATAATACATAACTTTCAAACTATTAAATTTTAGTTTTTTTTTCGTGAATTGGTAGTATTGTCATATGTATTATTTATTAAATAGTTGAGATGACTAAATAAATAATAAAATCCCCTCATTGAATTTTCATTATGGTTTCAACCTTTAACGTTGACCTTTATCAAATACATTTAGGTTCTATGGAAAGATCATTCTTCCACGATCAACAATAGTTTTGTTGATTACCAATTCAAACAAATCGTTATTATCAGTGGAGCAAATGCAAATATAAGCCTCTGATTTAAGCAACAATCTAAATCTGAGCTTCGGCTGAGATTAAACCACTTGAACAGTTGTAAATTTATTTAAATCCATTGGCAGTTGCTTGATATATTTCCGCAAAGGATTTGCCAAATTGTAAACCCTTTTTCCGGCAAAACCCAAAGGCAAAAGCAAAACTTGCCAACGCATAAACAAATGTGCCAAAAACACAGTAGAAAAACTGTGTGGAAAATCTCGCGCGCTTGCAGAAAAATAAACAAAACAATGGGAAACCCACAAAAAAATGAATCGGTTCCATTTGCTGACCCTAAAAAAAAGGAGCGAAAAGAAGGGATAGCCTCTGGAAGTGGGCGGTGGCTTGTGGGGGTGTGGCGTTTAACCCCATTGTGGGTATTTGTGTTTATTTTGGTATAAAATATTTGTTTATTTATACAAGACTCCTTTTTTTTTGCCGCACTTTTTTTAAGTTTTGCATAAATATTATGACAGTCCGAAATATGTATTGTTTCATTTAATTGGGCTGGCCTGCTTTCACTTACTTTTTGTGACTTTTTTGAGAGGTTATGATCTTTGTTCTTTGCTAAATGAGCGATTAAGTGAAACAATTTTCTCCAGATCACTTTTGATTGGTTTAATGCTGTTCTGCACGCAGTTAATCAGCTGTTTTCGATCACATTTCGTTTGTTATCATTTCGAAAGTGATTTTTCGAACTCTCAACTGTTACACTGAATCACTTTTTAACCGCTCACACGTGGGTGGCGATTTTGGGGGTTTTATGGGGGGTTTTTTGTTGTTAATTTTTTTTTTGTTAACCGGTCACACAAACGCACACTCACACACAGATGACACTGAGGGTACTGTAGCCCTTAATCCAAGCGTCCGTGACTGCGATCCGTTACAATGCTCGCGTTGAAAAAGACTAAACGTATCTTTCAGATACATTCGCTCGCATTCGTTTCGTGTCGTTTCTAGCCGAACAAGTTGCCTCGAACATGTTGCAGGAGTTCGTGTTGCACGGAAGTATCCTGCTGATTGGTTGATTTTACTTCGTCGTTCAGTTTCCGGCTGCAATTATAATTTATCGTTTCAAAAGTATAATAAAAAAAAATAAGTAAATTATTTTTATAAGCAAAAATCCATTTATTTATACGGAAATCGTATATGGAAAGGTTTGTTGCACTCGTTGAAAGATATGTAACCAATAGAAAAAAGCTTTTCTGATTAAATTTATATATATGAAGTAAATATAATCTTGATCAGGATATCTAGCAAATTTATCCTGATCCGGCCATAAGAACGACAGGAACGACGAAAACGAAAGCAGCCGAATAACCACGATCTGGCGCCCTCTAGCGGTTTTTTCTAGCAACATCACTCTTATACGATTCAGCAGAGTTCTAACAGCACTAGTTCGATGTGAAATGTTTGAGGAGGAGAAACGGCGCATTCAAAACAAGTTCGAAGACCAGCATCGTTATTTTTGTCGTCTTTACAGCTCTAAAGAACTAACTAGTTGGAGTTATTGTATACAGTTTTGGACATAGTTATTGGCACAGCAATACAACCTTTAAAATAAAATAATTTTTTCTAGGTGTCAAAAATTTGTTCTTAGCACCTTGCAGGCCTTTCAAAAGGCTCTAGAATATTCACACATCCTTGCCAAAGTCTTGCCTATCCTAAGCTTGAATCTGAGCCGAGTAGATTTGACACTATTCATTTTGTGATCCCTTCGCCTCCCCGGCTACTTGGCAGCTAATCTTTTATACGATTGACCCTAACCCTGCGAATAAAATATTTCTTTTCGTATTATATTCTGAGCTACTAAAACGATTTTAGAACTTAAAAAACTTATTGAGTCAAAGCCAATTTGGCAAAAAAAAAATAACCAAATCGACTAAGCTTTAACAAGAGAGTTGAGAGTGGGCCAATAAATTTGTTCATCAAAACGTGACTCATATTTACTGTTCTTTATTTTTATAAGTTATATATATAAGCGCTAAAATAATTAAGAAACCTGAGTAGTATAATGAGTTAGCCATTCTATATAATAAAATAAAATCTACGACAAATATTAGCATAGCAGATAGAGTGAAACAGTCTTAAAGATGAAAATGTTTGCTGTGCCACTGTATACATTTTATGAAGCTAATTGTTTGTGTAAAAAAACATCCAAAAAAATTAAATTAGAGATATGAGATCCTTAAGATTTAAAGGCAACCGTATATTTCCAACCAATTTTCTTGGCAAATGATAGATGGTTCATAAACTAGCTAAATGGATGCAACTTTAGGAAATTTCCGTCGAGTCAATTGGCAGTCAGAGGTGTCTGTGGGCGTAGGTCAGGGATAATGAGCAACTTATGATACTATTGAAGTTGGTGGGTTGTGCTGTCAGAGCTACAAATGAAAATTTAAGTGAAATATTTTATTTAATGCTTTTTATTTAAGAACTCGATTTAAACACGATATTGCTAATTTATTTACAACCATTTTTTTTAAGATTTATTCAATGGCTTTACTTTAAACTGCGTTTCATTGATAATATGATTAACAAGATAGTTTAATTAAATTTTAAAATACTCATAAAAAGTAATTCTAATAAGAAAACCTACCTGACTTGTCAAAGGTTCAATCGTTCATGCATGAACATGATCAACAAAAATATTTGTCCTGTAGTTTTATGACCTCTTAGTGATAAACAGGTACCGCTAGGGATATCTTTCCATTTTTAGGTAGAAATCCAGATGTTTTTGTTTACCAACCCAAACAAAACATAGAAAAACAGGAGCAGCGATAGCACTGACTGAGTTTTTTAAAAGAATATAATTTAATCAAATATAAATAGAATTCCATTTTATAAAATTTACAAAATCAAAAGTGGTTATGCGAATTTGAGATTGTTTGTGAGGTACATTGAAGCAAATTTAAATGAAATTTTATGTTAAGTAAGTTAATAAGTATAAGTTTTCCAGGAAAACTTTTCCCTAGTCAATTTTTGTTCTTTGATAACTGAACAAGTAGGAAAGACCAAGAATGAAACCCTTACACCTTATGACCAAAATACCATGGTCATACATCTGTGCATAAACTTAGTCACTTTATGAAGCACCTTCACATCCTGTGCCCCTGAACCTACGGCGATTGCCCTCGATGCCCTCGAATTTCCCCATTGAGACTTGCTGCAAGAAAATCTCCTGACCATATCTACTTATAATGTAAATAGCGGCACGCCCATAAAACAATTTGCCCCGTCTTACAAATAACCCAAGAAAGAGGCAGCAACAAATTTAACACTTAATTGTATTAACAGGCACAGTCATACAGAAAGGGAGGGATATATATATATATAAATGTATAAGGGGCATGGGTAATCCCAGGCAAAAACCAAATCCGGACGCGTGTCCAGTTTGTTGTTGTTTGCTTAGACAGTTTAGGGCCGCCCGCACAAAGGGCCAATACAAAAAGGGGCTATAAGGCCAAGAAAACAACCCGAGAAGGCTGAGATTGGAATGGGGAAAATATAGGGAGGAGTGCCCTGGTTTGATTGATGATTTTATGACATTGTTTACTCAAGTGATGATGAGAGGAGTAAGCAGATAGCCGGCCATCCCGTCCGTTGTTGTGTCCTTTCAAGCCGGTGTCGAATGAGGCTCGCTACCCGGACCCTCCTAATAACTCCCCAGGCCCCACGACACTCTCCCTTTTTTATGGTCCTTCCCCGGAATGCTATCAATCTTTTGCTTATTAGGGATAATATTACAATTACTTGTAAGTGAGATAAGCCCCAGGGCAGCCGAGTGTCCTTAGGTGGAGTTGGGATTCGGGTTTATCCGGGGCTCGCCTCGGGTTAAGTGTTCAAGTGGTTGCTTTGATCTTGGGATATGTGCGATTGTGTTGTGTAAACAGATATCGGTTCAAGTGAAGAAGCCAAATGATTGACAAGATGAAATAGGGGAAGTCTTCTTGAAGAAGAGTTCTTCGGGGAAAAAAGAAGAGGCGCCTAAGACGACTTTTCTGACTAAAACATGCCGCCAATAGATTTAATTACATTGAAGTACTCTTTAGTTTTCCTTATATAAGAAAAATTAAAAGCAGTGTCTAATATTAAATAATATTTTTCTGTAGTTTTTAGATGGTGTTTTAAAAATATTTTTAAAAATTGTCATTTATTATGTTCATAAAAAATACCTCCCGAGGAGGTACATTTAAGTAGAAAAGGTAAAACTTTTAAGCGTTAAGTTTAAACATTAATCATTATTATATACTACTTTATGGTTCATTGCTTCTGATCTCCCTCTTAATAATATTTTCCGTATCATCTTCTATTCTTCCAAAAAAGCGAGCTACTAGCGCCTTTGTGGGCTCCTCTCACCTGTCTCATCTCAGCTCAACCTGTTTCAATTTAGTCATAAACCCGGGCACATATACCTGCAGCCAAAAACACCCGCAGGTTTCAGTTGAGCGCTGTGTTTTGTGTTCCGTCGGTTTGGTCAGGAAGCCAGCTGGTTCCATGGTCACTACACTGCCGCATGTCCTTTATCCTTTTGTCCTGGCCTGGTTTGATGATAAATTAGAAAGGGGGCTGTGGGACGAGGGCGGGGCAGACGGCATTTGCGGCTCTTTAGTTGGCCTCACCGGCGTTTACCTTTCTTTCGTCTTTCTTCTTCTGGTTCCCTACATTTTTTATTGCTTTATTATGGTCTTCGAGCGAAAGTCCTGTCTTTGGACCAAGGACCTCTATGGCAGTTGATGTGTGTTTGTGTTTTGAGCAGAAGTAACGGAGCCGATGAGTGGTTACATCACCGGTTAATGGCTTGGTAATTGCCTGGTGAATTTGTTGGCCATTGCCTTTCGGACCTCAGCATTGGTTAAATTTTATTTTAAATTAGCTTAGTCTTAATTAATATCTAAGTATTACATATATAGAGGATGTAATATTTCCTAAGATTATTAATATAAAATATTTTATTATAAAAATTAAAACCCAAGCATTTTCAAGGCTGGAACATGTGCATTAATTGCAGGGTATATGTAAATGTTGTTATTATTGATACATTTCAAAGGGAAGACCAGAAAAAGGATCCCCAGGACACGTGTCAAGGAGCATACCCAGCAGTTTCCCCCATTGGTTTACGATTTTTCATCAGCTGCTCTTTTCCCCAGCAATAAAAAAAAATAGATCAGCCTTGAACCGCAGAGCAATAAAAATTAAAACACGTTTTCGATCCGTGGCAGGACTTTTCCTTTCCTTTCCGGGAAGGGGATGGATTTGGTATTTGAACACATGTCAAGCTGTCAATGTTTATCTATTCTGGGGAAAGGTGCCTATCTCGTCTCTCTCGCTTTCAACTCTCCACGTGAAGTGGCAGCCGTGAATTGAGGATTATCGGGCGTCTTGTTGATTTATGGCCAGGCAAACACACACAAAATGTACCAAAATTCGAGTCAAAATGTGATTGAAAACTGATAAGCCACATAGGATTGGCTTGGGGGGCGGCCAAGGGTGTAACATAGGTGTAAAGGGGGGCTTAAAGGAAGTGTTAAGGGCTGCAAAAGGGGGTTATTAGTGAAACTGTCAGCTGGGCGAAAGTGTTGAGTGCACGTCCATCAAACTTGGTCTGCGGTCAGAGGACTGGGATTCAGATTGGGCATTTCACAGAAGGGCATTGTGATCTTCTCCGGAGTTTGTCATGTTTTGTTGAGACTGTACACTGAAAATAAATTCGAAATCTAATCTTAAATTGCTGACAGTTTTTTAAAGCCATTGTGAAAGGGAAAAATTAAAGCCAATAAAAAATGCTAAGAAATATATAAAGAAATAATATAAAGTGACTAACTCTCTTCATTAAAAAAATTAGCATAAGTCAAAAATACAATTAAGACTTCTTAAAAAATTGTTAGCCATATTAATAA